TTTCTCCCTCTCCTGCTTTCTCCCTCTCCTGCTTTCTCCCTCTCCTCCATGGGCTTTCCCATTTTCTCCAGTTCCCATTTTGCCTCTGAGCAAAAAAAGAGAACACTCCAACCGGAATCATTTCCTCTTTTGTTGAAGCTAAAAAACCGTTTCCATGGAATCCCTGACTGTGCTTTCCTGAGTTATTTCTGAGCTGAGAGTTATTTTCTGGCCTTTGCATCTCCCAGGGATGATCTGTTGGCTCGTGGGCTGGAGGGGCATTAACAGAAAAGCAATAATCAAAATTCCCGTTGCTCCCGCTTCTGTGACACCCACGGACTGAGAAATTCCAGGGACTCTGACATTGTACAGACTGTAACATTCCACTGACTGAGACATTCCAGGGACTCTGACATTCCACGGACTGAGACATTCCACAGACTGTGACAGTCCAGAGACTGTGACAGCCACGGATTGTGACACCCACGGACTGAGACATTCCATGGATTGTGACATTTCAGGGACTGTGACACCCACGGACTGAGACATTCCAGGGACTCTGACATTCCACGGACTGAGACATTCCATGGATTGTGACATTGTACAGACTGTGACACCCACGGACTGTGACACCCACGGACTGTGACACCCACGGACTGTGACATTCCATGGATTGTGACATTTCAGGGACTGAGACATTCCACAGACTGAGACATTCCACGGACTGTGACATTGTACAGACTGTGACATTCCAGGGACTGTGACATTCCACAGACTGTGACATTCCAGGGACTGTGACATTCCATGGACTGTGACACCCACGGACTGTGACACCCACGGACTGTGACATTCCAGGGACTGTGACACCCACGGGCTGTGACACCCACGGACTATGATATTCCTGGGACTGTGACATTCCACAGACTGTGACATTCCAGGGGCATTGACACCCACAGACTGTGACATTCCACGGACGGTGACACCCACGGATTGTGACATTCCAGGGACTGTGACATTCCAGGGACTGTGACATTCCAGGGACTGTGACACCCACGGACTGTGACGCGCAAAGACTGTGACACCCACAGACTGTGACACCCACAGACTGTGACATTCCACGGACTGTGACATTCCACGGACTGTGACACCCACAGACTGTGACATTCCAGCTTCTGTGACACCCACGGACTGAGACATTCCAGGGACTGTGACACCCACAGACTGTGACATTCCAGCTTCTGTGACACCCACGGACTGTGACATTCCAGGGACTGTGACATTCCAGGGACTGTGACACCCACGGACTGTGACATTCCAGGGACTGTGACATTCCAGGGACTGTGACACCCACAGACTGTGACATTCCAGGGACTGTGACATTCCACGAACTGTGACACCCACGGACTGTGACACCCACAGACTGTGACACCCACAGACTGTGACATTCCACAGACTGTGACATTCCACGGACTGTGACATTCCACAGACTGTGATACCCACGGACTGTGACATTCCACGGACTGATCCTTCTCTGGCCCATCTCCATTTTCTGCCTGGAGTTCTTCCAACTTTTGCAATCGGTCCCGTCTCCTTGGCTCAGCTTCAAATACTGAGCCTTAAAATCCACCCCCAGCAGCCTCAGTGCAGTGGGGGGAAGCCCCCCCGGCTGAGCTACAGACGTTCGGCCCAGTTCTGAGCTGTCCCGAGCCCCAAAGTCTGGCTGGGGGGAGAAGAGGGCCTGACCTCCTCACCAGGGGCTTTCGCCTCTCCCTCTTGATGGTTGTGAGTCTCTCTCGCCCTCACAACACTCCAAGGTGCCTCCAGCTCTGGTTTAGCCAGGCTCTGGGGGCCCAGCCCCCCCAAGTTTGGGGACCCCTCGGTTCTCTCACGCACACTCCGACACACGCTCTGCCAACTCTGCCAGCTCACTTCCCTCTGGCGATAGCTCAGTTTCACAGCAGCGATGAAAGGACAGCTCCGATCGATTCCTCAGGGCTGTGGTAGTTTGGGCTGGGCCTTCTTTGGTGACCAGTTTGTAACCAAGGAAGTGCCCAGATTTACCCAGTATTCCCTATGATTTTTACGTAAGCCGGGCTATAAGAAGAAAGGAGGAGAGGTCTTTGCTCTCTTTCCTTCCGGCAGCTTTGGAAGTGCTGGTTCCCTGCTTTGAGTCTGTCGTGTTGGGGAGTGAGGCCTAGTGAGGCCTGGTGAGGCCTAGTGAGGCCTGGTGAGGCCTGGTGAGGCCTAGTGAGGCCTAGTGAGGTCTAATGAGGCCTAGCGAGGTCTAATGAGGCCTAGTGAGGCCTAGTGAGGTCTAATGAGGCCTAGTGAGTCCTGGTAAAGTCTAGCGAGGCCTAGTGAGGCCTGGTAAAGCCTAGCGAGGCCTAGTGAGGCCTACTGAGGCCTGGTGAGGCCTAGTGAGTCCTGGTGAGGCCTAGCGAGGCCAAGTGAGGCCTATCGAGGCCTGGTAAGGCCTAGTGAGGCCTAGTGAGGACTACTGAGGCCTGGTGAGGCCTAGTGAGGCTTAGTGAGGCCTTGGTGACCTTGGGAGGCGGAGGTTGCCAGCAGATTGTTCCAGCACGACTTCTGTGGTCCCAAGGAGAGTATTAAGATATTCTTTTGCTAATTCTTTTTGTTGCCAGATCTCGGGCTATTGATCGTGTATGTTTTATTTTGGTTTTGTTCCTTTCTTTCCCTTCCCCTTTCCCTTTCCCTTCTGAAATCGTACATATATTTCAATTGCATAGAACTGTAACATAAGTGTAAATATTTTTTTTTATATTGCTTTAGCTGCCTCTCTCTCTTTTCGGTTCTCTTGGAGTTTTTTTCCCTCTTCTCCCTTGGTTTGGGGGGGAGGAGCTCTGGTGGTGAGGTTTGGAGACCTCAAACCACCTCACCTCTTAAAGGCTCAAAACTGTCTCTGAGGAGTTATTTTTGTGCCGGTTTTGGTGTCAGAGTTGAGCCACAAGTTGGAGAAGTCACCTGTGAAATCCCAAACCCCCCGGTGCAGACGGATGAGAAAACCCCCGCGCCCTTCTCGGGTGAGTCCCGTTGTTCTGAGAGGCCTTTGCTGGAGGATCTTTGTCTCAGGAGCCCTGGAGGCCCCTTCCACCCCTGGAGGGCCGGGACTGTTTCTCCATCCCCACAGGAACTCTTTGGGTGACACCGGGATATCCTCCCTCCCAAGGGGCCGTTGTTCCCCGGGAATGTCCGTCTGTCCTCCAGATGCTGCTCAGTGAATTCCTTCTCTCCCCGGCTGCTGGGGCTGCTGCGGGTTCCCAGCTGAGGGCTCGGGGTGTTTCCAGCAGCTCAGTCCCCGCGGGAAGGTTCAGGTGGGTTCAGGTGAGGCGGCCGAGGGGGTTTAAAGGTCATTCCTGGGGTTTGGTTTCGCTCTTTGCTGTCGTTCCTCAGCCCCCCGAGGAGGAGGAGGACGTTCCAAGGCCACGGGAGCAGCGGGACCCTCCTCACCCCGAGGTTTTCACGGGGGCAGAAGGAGGTGGGGCCTCCCCAAACTCGGGTGGAGCCAGAGGGAAGAGGAGGGAAGAGGACGGAACTCGGGGGCTTTTCCCGCGCTGAATCCGAAGGGTCTTAATGATAATATTGAATTATGTATTTAATTATTATTATTTCATTTCGTTATTTAATTTAGTATTATTAAGCATAACATTAAACTAATATTAATAATATTAATTAATTATTTGATTAATATTAATTAGTTATTTAATTTAGTATTATTAAGCATAACATTAAATTAATATTAATAATATTAATTAATAATTTATTTTATTAATATTAATTAATTATTTAACTTAGTATTATTAAACATAACATTAAATTACTATTACTGAGTATAATATTTAATTAATTATTAATAAATGATAATATGTTATTAATAATATTATTAAGAATAATTATTAATTACTGTTACTAAGCATAATACTTAATTATTAATAATAATTAATCAATTAGATATTATTGAGCATAATGTTTAATTAATAATAGTAATAAAAATAAAATTAATAATATTAATATATTTAATTATTATTAATAGTATTAATAATATTGTTAATACTATTATTAAGAATAATGTTTGACTACTATTATTAAGCATAATAATGAATTAACATTATTGATAATAATTAATTATTTAATTATTATAAAATAAATAATTTAATATTTGATTAATTATTATAAAATAAATAATTCAATATTTGATTTAATATTATTAAGCATAGTATTTAATTAACTATAATAAAAATAAAAACAATAATATTAATATATTTAATTATTATTATTAATATTATTAATAACATGATCAGTAGTATTATTAAGAAAAATGATTAATTACTATTATTAAGCATAATATTTCATTAACTAGAATAATAATATTTAATTATTTAATTAATTATTATAAGTCAAATAATTAATTAATAATTTTATTTATTAGTAGTAATAGTATTAAGAATAATACTTAATTATTATTAATATTAAGCATAATTCCAAGGGTGGTTTTTTTAGGCGTGTCCTGAAAGCTGCAAGGTGGAAGGTCCTGTCCGGGCCTGACACCAGGGAACATTAAAGAAATATAAAAAGTATAAGGCTAAAAATAAAAATGTCCCCTCGGCCACAGGGTTGGCTTTTGAGTGGCCCTGTTTATAAAGTTCTTTTTTTTCGCTGTATTTGGCCGTCTTCTAAATTTTAATTTTAATTAAGCAACACCCAGACGAGCTCGGACCACCAGGGAAAAGCTCAAAACATAAAGGGAAAGCCCCTTTTCAGAGAAAAGAAACCCTTTTAGGTAAAAAAGGGACACGTTAAAACTTATCCGAGAAGGGTGGGATTTTTGGAAAACTATAAAATGTACAAATTGTGGCCCACGGGGTCTTTCCCCCCGAAGAACTCGGTGACAGAAGGACCCGGCACGCAGAATAAATTCTTCCTTTCTTTGTTTCCTGACTTGTGCCCTCTTTCTACATTTAAAAGAGGGATTTTTCCCACAGTCGGATCCCGAAAACCCCCGGACGACCCCCCTGGGACTTTCTGGGGACAATTTGGGACAATTTGGGGACCTTTTCGCGACATTAAACCCCCCCCCAGAACCCCGAAATGGCGGCGCCCTTCTTGTCATGGCGGCGCCCCCGCGCCGGCAGCGGCTTCCTCGGCCTCTGATTGGCTGAAACATTGCGGAAAAGGCTCTGATTGGTGGAAGTGCCGCGCAAAGCGCGACGGGAAGAAGGTCGCCCGCCGCTGATTGGTAGGAGGAGGAGGCCGGGGAGTTGTGATTGGTTGGTTGAGGGGAGCGCGCAAGGCCTGACGGGAGTCGTAGTTCCGGGTCGGAGGCCGCCATGGCCCCGGAGGACGCGCGGGGTGAGGGGGGGCCCGGGGGGGC